GCACCCACCCCTTTTGAGCCCTCCGATGCCATCACTTTCTGTCCACCTGAGGCCACTTGCCCCAACCCTAGCCCGACTCGTATGTTGACCATACCTCCTGACCTTCCCCTCTCTGAGGCTGAATGTACTATCCTTGGCAATTTTGGCCTCGTCATGACATTGAGCAGTTTTCCTTCCACCTCTGTCTCCATGCTCCTTGTTCTACTGATCCCTTCACTTGGACCCCTTCCCTGGGCCTCTTAACTGCCCTTGATCACTTCATTGAAAACTGCCAGTGTGACATCGGCCATCTCAATTTCTCTGCTCGTCTCACCCGCTGTAACCTGTCCCCTTCTGAAATTACTGCACTTCGCTGTCTTAGGTCCAACCCTAACTGTGTTATCAAACCGGTCGACAAAGGTGGTGCTGTTGTAGTCTGGCACACTGGTCTTTACCTTGCAGAGAATCAGTGGTGGTGCTGTTGTAGTCTGGCGCACTGGTCTTTACCTTGCGGAGAATCAGTGGTGGTGCTGTTGTAGTCTGGCGCACTGGCCTTTACCTTGCGGAGAATCAGTGGTGGTGCTGTTGTAGTCTGGCGCACTGGTCTTTACCTTGCAGAGAATCAGTGCCAACTCTCTGACACTTCTTCCTATCGACCCCGAACCATGACCTCACGTCCAAACATCAAGCCATTGTTTGCAGGACTGTCACCAATCTCGTTACCCCCGGAGATATTCCCCACCCCACTTCCTCCAACCTGGTAGTCTCTCAACCCCACTGCTTCTACCTCCTTCCCAAAATCCACAAACCAGACTGCCCTGGTAGACCCATTGTACCAGCCTGGTCCTGCCCCATCGAGCCCATTTCCTCCTACCTTGACAGCATCTTCTCTCCACTTGTTTAGACCCTGCCTACCTGCATCCGCGATTCCTCTGATGCCCTCCACCTTATTGACAATTTCTAGTTCCCTAGCCCTAACTTCCTCCTGTTCACTATGAATGTCCAATCCGTCTATACCTCCATTCCCCACAGGACGGTCTGAGAGCTCTCGGCGGCTTCCTTGATCAGAGGCCTGAACAATCCCCATCCACAATCACTCTCCTCTGCCTGGCTGAACTTGTTCTCTCACTGAACAATTTCTCCTTTAATTCATCTCACTTATGCCAAATCAATGGAAGTGGCTATGGGCACCTTCATGGGTCCCCGTTATGCCGCCGCTTTATGGGGTATGTGGAACAATCCTTATTCCAGTCTTACACTGGACCCCTCCCACAAATCTTGTCTCCGGACATCGACGACTGCTTCGGTGCTGCTTCATGCTCCCACCGGGACCTTGAAAACTTCATTCATTTTGCTTCCAATTTCATCCCTCTATAATTTTCATATTGTCCATTTCAGACACTTCCTTCCTTTCCTTGACCTCTCTGTCTCCATTTTAGGGAATAAACTGTCCACTGCCACCCACTACAAAGCCACGGATTCCTGTAGCTACCTTCACTGCAGCTCATCACACCCCAAATCCTGCAAGGTCTCCATCCCATTCTCCCAGTTCCTTCCCCTACGTCGCATCTGTTCAGATGATGCCACCTGACATGGCTTGCTTCTTCCATGACTATGGTTTCCCACCCACCATCGTTGAAAGGGCCCTCAACCGCATCCAACCTATCATCTGTGTTTCTGCCCTTGCCCCTCCCCATCACTCACAACAGCGCGATCGGGTCCCCTGGTCCTCACTTATCATCCCACCATCCTCTGCATTCAAAGAATCATTCTCTGCCATTTCAGACAACTCCTGCCAAACGCCACCACCAAACACATCTTCCCCTCACTCCCCCGTCTGCATTTTTCAGGGATCGTTCCCTCTGGGACACTCTAGTCCCTTCCTCGACCAGCAAAACCACCCTCCCTTCCCATGCCACTTTCCCGTGTAGCCGCAGAAGGTGCAACACCTGCCCCTTCATCTCCTCCCTGCTCACCATCCAAGGGCCTAAACAGTCTTTCCAGGTGAAGCAGCATTTTACCTGTACCTCCTCCAACCTTGTGTATTGTATTCTCTGCACCCAATGTGGCCTACTCTGCATTGGAGAAACCAAACACAGACTGGGTAATTGCATTGCAGAACACCTCCGGCCTGTGCACGAGTATGACCCTGAGTTGTCTGTAGCCAGTTATTTTAACACAGCGCCCTGCTCACAGGCCCACTTGTCTGTCCTCGGCATGCTGCAGTGTTTCAGTAAATCGCAGCGCAAACTGGAAAAACAACATCTCATGTTCAAACTAGGCACTTCACAGTCTTCTGGATTTAATATTGAGTTCAACACTTTCAAATTGTGAACCATTCCTTCTATTTCTTTTTGCTTGTTATGTTCTGTCACCATGTCCTGGCTGTCCTTTCCACAGCATTGTTCTGCTATTCCCACGTTCCGATCACTTAATCTGAACTATCAAAATCTTTTCTCCACCAGAACCCTCCACCCCCCCCCCCCCCCCCCCCCCCCCCCCCCATAAACTATAGCATAAATGCTGCCCCCTCCACACTTCACTTCAGCTCTGATGAAGAGTCATCAAGACTCGAAACATTAGCTTGTTCTCTCTCCATGGATGCTGTCTGACCTGCTGTGATCGCCAGCATTTGTTGTTTTCAGTATTTATGTGATAAATCCAGTTCAGTTGGGTGATCAGAGGTAACCCCCAGGATGTTGATAGAGGGTCATTCAGTGATGGTGATGGTGATGTGGACTTGGTGCATTATTTCACAGTTCTAAAATGAATTTTCAGAGCATAAACCATTGCTTGTTTGAATTTATGTAACACAGCACTGTTCCAACAGCAGAGGCACAAAAACAAAAGTTTAATTAAACTTTCTAATTAGGCTACCTGTTGACATACAGCTTTCACTGTATTGTGCAGGCACCTTATATATCACATGACCAGCCTTTGGGAAGGTGAAGTTGAGGTTACAGATCAGCAGAGATCTTGTTGAATGTTGGAGCAGGTTTGAAGGGCTGAATGGCTTTCTCCTGGTCCTATTTATTATATTTTTATTTGATTGACTTAAATATCCTGCTGATATAAAACAACACATCTCTAAGTAATAAGTGTTATTTATTTGAGGTGTTTGGAACACTCTGAGGCCTTTCAGCCTCTCTGTTCAACAATTTTATATAGAACAAAGCTAATCTGGATCCTAACTCCATCTACTTGATTTAGTTCTATAACCTTTGCTAACTTCGCCCAACCAGTAACTATTAATCCTAGTCTGGAAATTTCTAATTGATCCCCAGCCTCAACTGTGTTTCTTTTGGGAGGGAATTCCTGATTCCCATTCCAATGGATGGGGTTTGTCCGCCCCATCTGCTTTTCCTTTTTTTTTCTTCTTGTTTGTTGTCTTTTTTAAAGTATTTTAGTTTTTTATTTAAATTTACATTGTGGAGAGAGCTCAGTCATGGAGGCAGTAGTGGCAAAGGCATTGGAGCCTGGAGCGTGGCAGCAGCTGGGACCAGCAAGACTTCAGTCAGTGGAGGAGGGGCTAGCGAGTTTGAGTGGCAGTCTGCAGTGAGAGACTCAGCCCAGCACAGGGGGGAGTGAGTCCTCGTGGGGAAAGCTCAGTGTAGAGTGACTGCAGGCCATGGCTGTAGAAGGACTGTACTGTTGAACTTTTAACTTCTTTCTTTATTTTTCTACTTTGTACCTAAGATGGTGGCCTTGTACTACACTCCTGTATCCCTGTATTTGAGTACACATGACAATAAAACCTAATTCTAATACTGATTTTGAGTGTGGAAGTGTTTTCTGACTTATTGTCTAGCTTAAGTTTAGCATTCAGTTCCTTGTTGTAGAATCCTTAGAGAAGGTGTGGGATTGACCAGTGAACAGACCGGAAAAATGCAGGAGTGTGATGCCCATGATAAACATTTGTCATTACAGAATGTTTCCTGTTTTAAGGGTGACCTCCTTTCAACACTTGGTGCACTGTGAGTGAAGCTGTTGCTGCTGTATTCGACAAGGATCTCAGTGAATTCTTTTAGGAAGGACACACATTATAAACACAGCAGCATGTAAAATCTGTCTCCACTTGAGTTCAGGACTGAGGAACTGTCAATTGTAGCTTCCAGCGTAGAGCTACTCACAACTTAACAACATCACCATACAATCAAACACACACAACAGGAATGTTCCACCATGGGGAATAGAGAGGTTCAGACTGGCATGGTTGGTGATTGCCATTGGGATTTGTTGTTTTGGTCTGTGTGAAGGGAACGTTATTCTGTATCACTGTGCTGCCCAATTCTGACCTCTTCACCATTTCTGATTTAGTTATTCCACTATTGACGACAGTTCCTTAGACTACCTGGGTCCCAGAATTTCCTGTCCATATCAGATACCTATTTCAAGTGCTTATATCTATGTACCTATGTCAGATGCCTGTATTTCTGTGTGAGGTGCTCTGTAACAATATTGCCAAGTTTTAAAATGTACTGTTATAGAATGTTCACTTCGGAAGAATTAAGGTCTCTTTTATGAATTAAGAGTAAAAACTAAAACATTGTTACCAAAGGGCTCTTACGGTGTGAAAGTATAATCATGATGGGATGAAAAGTTGATCATTAGATAAAATTTAGCTTTAGCTCTTCATTAAGTGTAAACTTATGACATATAAAACAAAGTTAATGATACCTGGAGTTTCTGAATTGTATCAGATGTAAATGTTTATCATTCTTTCCACAAATATTCTTCCTTTCGAAACTGAACAATGAGCAAGATGTCTGTCCTGATTGATTAGGTTGAATGAATCCTGTGACTTTTTGTATGAGGGTCAAGAGAGCACAGGATGGGGTTGTAAAGAACAATTTGAGGAAAATGTGGGAAATATTGCTGGAATGGAATAGACTGCATAGTGTTCTCAGGGATTTATGAAACAAACAGGAAGTTGTTTGACAGGTGTTTCTCAAGGTTGAGATCAGATGTTATACTGTGATGTCTTCAATTTATCAATAATGTAATTGTCTCATTCTGTTTAGATATGCAACTACGTTGGACAGGCAAAGATTGTTGTTCAGTTGGTGACCTATGGGAAGGATAATGTACATCTCCATGCTCACAGTCTCGTTGGCAAACAGTGTGAAAAAGGAATATGTTTAGTTCAAGTGGGTCCCAAGGAAATGATTTCAACGTAAGTTTGAACTTCTTTCAAAATGGTTTTTTTTTGGGTGAATAATTCAACATTAAAATTTTCTCTTACGATGTAAATGTCATCATGTTGTTAGGTTTTGAAAATGTTTTAGTTACATTAGCTAGTTAGTATAGATAATTTCTAAACAACCTGTTCAGAGATGTTATGCAAATCTCTAGAGCAGGTGAGACTTGAACCTGGGACTCCTGGCCAAGAGTGGGGAGCACTATACTACACCGTAAGAGCCCTCAGAATAAACGACGTTGCTGTCGGTCTAGAGTCACATGTAGGCCTGACCAGGCAAGGACAGCACATTTCCTTCCCTAAAGGGTGTTAGTGAAACAGATGGATTTTTATAGCAGTCAGCAATTGTTACCTGGTTACTATTAGGCTAGCTTTTTAATTCAGGATTTTTACTGAATTTCGATTTCGCCATTTGAACCCATGACCCCAAAACATTAACCTGGGGTTCTAGATTATTATTCTAGCACCGTTACTTAGTCTTGCAGTGATAATACCATGAGGCTATCACTTCCCTGGATCTCTTCCCCCGTATCTTCTCCCAGCCTACCTCATATCCTTTGACCAGAATATCCATCCTCCGGTAAGGAGACCAAAACTGTACACAGTTTACCAGATGGTCTCACTGAGGCCCTGTACAATTGCAGCAAAAATCCCTGCTACTGTACTCGAATGCTCTTGCTATGATGGTCGACATACCATTTGCTTTCTTCACTGTGGACCTGCTTACTTTCAGGGACTGGTATACAAGGACAGCCAGGTCTTCCCCTTTCCCAAGCTATCACCATTCAGATAACAAACCACTTTCCTGTTTTTGATACCAATGTGAAATAACCTCACACTTATTCACATTGTACTTCATTTGCATGTTTCCTCTCACTCTCTCAGCCTGTTCCAATCACACTGAAACATCTTTATATCCTCCTCACAGCTCACCGTCCCACCCAGCTTTGTGTTGTGAACAAATTTGGAGATGTTACATTTAGTTCCCTCATCTGAATCATTAACATATATTGTGAATAGCTGCGGTCAAAGCATTGATCCCTGCGGTATTCCACTAGTCACTGCCTGCCATGCTGAAAAAGACATGTTTATTACTACTGTTTGTTTCCCGTCTGCAAGCCAATTCTCTATCCAGGACATACACTACTCCACCAATTTTAAGGAGAGCTGTGAGGAATTCCTCCTTGACTCTCTGAGATCTATGGATGAGCTTTGGGCTTGTTTCTCTGTGAAATCGAACTGCAGTGGTACAAAGCGGGAAATGCCTATGAGCTGCATCCAATGTTGATACACCTCATGACCTCCCCTTATCTCCTGAGCATTCTAGAGATTTGTTGGTCACATATTAACTAACACACTGTAGCGTCCTTTCAAAATGGATTGTTTTACATATTGGTGGCATTAATAGAATCAAAGGAGACCATTCGGCCCATTGTCCCTGTGCCAACTCTTTGAGCCATCCAATGAGACCAACTCTCTTGCTCTTCCCCATAATCACATCAATCTTTTTAGTACAATTATTTTTCACTTTTTTTTCTTTGTAAATTCTTGTTAAATCTGCTTCCACTGACTTTTTAGGCAGTGCATTCCAAAGCAAACACTGTATTAAATGCCTGTTTTTTTGTTTTTGGGAATTATCTGTGCCCGCTGGGTTCCAAATCTTCTTTAAGTCAAAACAATTTCTTCTTATTTACTCTATCAAAATCCTTCATAACTTTGAAAGGCTGCACTAATTCTTCCCTTAACTTTGTCTGCTCAGTGCAGCACAATCTCTGCCTCTCCGCATAATTAGATTACCTCATACAAACAGTCTAATCAATCTCTCATCACCAAGACTCGACATTTTTCCTAAAGCAAAGTTCCTATAATTGTGTACAATACTCCAGCTAAGGCTTAACCCCAGAAATATGTAAAGCTTTAGAATAACTCTCTTGCTGATGTACTCTAGACTCTTGCTTCAGATTCTGTGTGCCTTAGTTTTAAACAAGCTTTTCAACTTTAATGTTCACCTTCAAAGATGTGTATGTCCACTCCTGGAGCCCGTTTTTAAAATGATGCCATTTAGCTTCCACCGTCTCAGGCTATACTCAGAAGATTGTATTTATATTCTCCCACTGTAATTCCCATGTGAAAATCTGTAGACATTCAGTAGTGATGTGCGCCAGGAACATTCCACTTGACATTGTGCCTGTTTTGACTAAACTTCTTTTTGGGTCTGGATTAGTGAGTACTGCCCAATATGCATGTGGACACCACACAGGACAAACAGAGACAGAATAGAAAGCGTTGGCTTGGGGAAAGCTTGAGTTTGGGAGTTTCAGGATCAATGTGTCAGGAATCTGGTTGACTGAGCAACAGCCTGTTGCATGGAAATAGCATTTCTTGTCAATTCATGGTGTTTGTTACTTCCCCAGATTTCCGAACCTCGGTATTCTCCATGTGACAAAGAAGAATGTTGCCAGTACGCTTGAGCAGAGAATGACACAGGCTTATGTGATGGGTTATAATAATGGAGTTGTAATTCACCCAGAATTAAATCATCGACACAGCGAAGGTTACGGTCAAAGGGAGCTCACAGGTCAGCTTCAACTTATTTGCAATTAACTCGTGATTTCCCATTCACATGAACTCTTGATCAAGATGCTCTTGGGAAGAGATAGGAAAACAACTTAACCAGCCTGTTAATCAATGCTAATATGAGAATTTAAAAGTTTTAAGTATTGTACAAGAATTTTAAGATATCTGAAGGTCCAGAATGATTAGGTTTTTTTTTAAACACAGTGAGTTGTTATGATCTGGGATGTGCTGCCTGAAAGGATGGTGGAAGCAGATTCAACAGGAATTTTCAAAAGAGAATTGGATAAATAGTTAAAAAGAAAAAGCTTTCAGGCAATGGGGAAAGTCTTGTTTCCCTGCTCTAATTCAAAAGCTCTTTCAAAGAGTGAGCACAGGCACAATAACCTCCATATCTTTATTTATCACCATATTTTTAACCATCTCCAATCTGTCAATCCTCCAAACATGTGCACTCCTCCCATTCGGGCCTTGAAGATCTGTAAATTTTATCACTGCACGTTGTCAGCTGCCTGAATGCTGACTTCTGGAATTCCCTAAACATCTCCTCTCAAGACACATTTTCAAAGTTAGCTTTCAGGCTGAACATTTGGTCACATGTCCTATTGGAATATCTTTAATTTGTTTTAGGAATATGTTACCATGTTAAAGGAGCTACATAAATACAGTGTTATTAAAGTTTACTTTGTGTTTCATATGTGAGAATATTAATGTATTAATGTGCATTACTGTGACGCCTGTTTGTAGAACGTGAAAAGGAGTTAATCCATCAGGCTTCCATACAGCAAGCAAAAGAAATGGACCTGAGTGTCGTCCGTCTCATGTTTACAGCCCTGCTTCCAGACAGCAGCTGTCGATTTACACGCAAATTGGAACCTGTCATTTCTGATCCCATCTATGACAGCAGTAAGTGGGCACTTTATAAATCTGCCAGTTGCCAAACTCAAAGTGATAGTGAACTGGAATGTTACAAAGTTTGTTTATCCTTTCATTAACTCTGATTACTGTATCTTCTATACCGCAGAATTTTGTTCGGTAAATAAACATTTTATAAGGGTTTAAATAATTAGGGAGGCAAACGGTATGTTAGAGACTTTGTTACAAAGGAGTTAGAATAAAGATATCTAATTACAATCATTTTGAATCTTGGTGAGATCAGTATGGAGTACTGTATATCTAAGGAAAGATTTACTTCCTTCAGAGGAAATTCCTACAATGTGGGGACTGTACTATGAGGAGTAATTGAGGAGATTAGGCATGTACTTCTGGAATTTAAAAGAGTGATCTAGTTGAATCGTATATGGTTCTTAAGGAGCTTGACCTTGTAGATGTTGGAGTGTGTCCCCTGTGGAATCTGGAATGAGGGTCAAAGCCTTGGTGGAGTGAGAGATCGTCTGCTTCAGACTGAGATGAGGAAGAAATTGTTTACTTGGAAAATTGTGAATCTTTGAAATTCTCCAGCGCAGAGAGCCACGTATGGTTCTTTGCAAAATACATTCAAGGCTGCAATCGATAGATTTTTAGACACTGAGGAAACTTGAGAATATGACGATAGTGCAAGAAGGTAGAGCTAGTCTAGATAATAGGCTTGATCTTGTTGAACTGTGGAACAAAATTGACAGAGCCAATGACCTCCAGCTCCTGCTGTTGTGTTTTTTTTTGCTGTAACTTGAGTGCTTTACTGTTCTTTTCCCTAAATCATCTCTGTAAATTCTCTAGCGATGAATTAAGTCAAGAAAGTCTTTTGAAGTAACAGTAAATTTCCATCCACTGTTATCAAAATCGTGGATTCAGTGGTGGTGTTAGTGTCAATGGGCAAGTAATCTAGGGACCCAGGCTGGTTCTCTGGGACATGGGTTTGAATCCTGCCATAATAGATGGTGAAATTTGAATTAAATAAAATCTAGTCTAATGACAACCACATAACCACTGTTAATTGTTATAAAAACTCTTCTGGTTCACTGGTGTCTTTAGGGAAGGAAACCTGACATCCTTACCTGGTGTGGCCTACATGTGACTCCACATCCACAGCAATGTGGTTGACTTTTAACTGTCCTGTGAAATGGTTGAGTGATCACTGAGTTTAAGGCAGCTAAGGGTGAACAGCTTTGTTGACGATAGTTACATCCCAAAAAGAATTTAAAAAGTGAGGAATGGAACATCAATGAATTGTCATTTTTGATGAACTGAATGTTTTTAAGTCACGAACCCTGTAGCTGTGAGCAGACAGGAATTGAAAGTCCCAAAGAATGTTTGCTAATTTACCCAACTGTTATATTAGATCTGCACTTGCCAGAGTTTAGCCTTTGTTCTGTTCCCCTTCAAAATAGCATGTTCAGATCAAGCATATTTAATACATTCTCTTTCATTAAAAGAAAAGGTATTTAACATTCGGATCTCTCCTGGCATTTAAGGAGTACAAGGGAAACATTTAAAATGAACCGGGTTCATCAGGAGAGCTGTTGGCTTTATGTTAATTTTCATCAAGAGTAAAGTTGAGTTGCAATGGAAAGTGATTCTTAGTGAAATCAGATTTTCATGAGATTCTCATCAGCTGATAAGAACATAAGAACTAGGAGCAGGAGTAGGCCATCCGGCCCCTCGAGCCTGCCCCGCCATTTAATAAGATCATGGCTGATCTTTTTGAGACTCAGCTGCACTTACCCGCCCGCTCACCATAACCTTTAATTCCTTTTACTGATCAAAAATTTATCTAGCCTTGCCTTAAAAACATTCAGTGAGGTAGCTTCAACCGCTTCACTGGGCAGGGAATTCCACAGATTCACAACTTTCTGGGTGAAGAAGTTCCTCCTGGCCTCAGTCCTACATCTGCTTCCCTTTATTTTGAGGCGATGCCTTCTAGTCCTAGTTTCACCTGCGAGGGGAAACGACCTTCCTGCCTCCACTTTATCTATTCCCTTCATAATCTTGTATGTTTCTATAAGATCTCCCCTCATTCTTCTGAATTCCAATGAGGTATAATCCCAGTCTACTCAGTCTCTCCTCATAGTCCAACCCTCTCAACTCTGGAATCAACCGAGTGAATCTCCTCTGCACCCCCTCCAGTGCTAGTATGTCTCTTCTCAAGTAAGGAGACCAAACTGCTCACAGTACTCCAGGTGTGGCCTCACCAGGACCCTATACAGCTGCAGCATAGCCGCCCTGTTTTTAAACTCCATCCCTCTAGCAATGGCAGACAAAATTCCATTTGCCTTTTTAATGACCTGCTGCACCTGCAATCCCACCTTCAGCGATTCATGCACAAGGACACCCAAGTCCCTCTGCACAGCAGCGTGCTGCAATTTTTACCATTTAAAACATAGTCCGTTTTGCTGTTATTCCTACCAAAATGGATGACCTCACACTTATCAACATTGTACTCCATCTGCCAGACCTTTGCCCACTCACTTAGACTATCTATATCCCTCTGCAGACTTTCAGTGTCTTCTGCACACTTTGCTCTACCACTCACCTTAGTGTCATCTGCAAATTTTGACACACCACACTTAGTCCCCAACTCCAAATCATCTATGTAAATTGTAAACAATTGAGGTCCCAACACTGATCCCTGAGGCACAGCACTAACCACTGACCGCCAACCAGAAAAACACCCATTTACCCCTACTCTTTGTTTTCTACTGGTCAACCAATCCTCTATCCATGCCAATACATTACCTGTAATACTGTGCAACTTTATCTTGTGTAGCAGCCTTTGGTGTGGCGCCTTGTCAAATGCCTTCTGGAAATCCAGATACACCACATCCAGAGGTTCCCCATTGTTCACCATGCAAGTAATGTCCTCAAAGAATTCCACTAAATTACCCTTTGTGAACCCATGCTGGGTGTTCCCAGTGGGACAATTTATATCCAGATGTCTTGCTATTTCTTCCTTAATGATAGATTCAAGCATTTTCCCCACTACCGAAGTTAAGCTAACTGGCCTATAGTTACCTGCTTTTTGTCTACTTCCTTTTTTAAACAGTGGCGTCACGTTGGCTGTTTTCCAATCTGTGGGAACCACCCCAGAGCCCAGTGAATTTTGGTAAATAATTACTAGTGCTTTTGCTATTTCCCCCATCACCTCTTTTAGTACCCTGGGATGCATTTCATCAGGGCCAGGAGACTTGTCTACCTTTAGCCCCATTAGCTTGCCCAGTACTGCCTCCTTAGTGATAATGATAGTTTCTAGGTCCTCACCTGCTATAACCTTCTTGCCATTAGTTTTCGGCATGTTATTTGTGTCTTCCACTGTGAAGACCGACACAAAATAACTGTTTAATGTCTCAGCTATTTCCTCATTCCCAGTTATTAAATTGGCCTTCTCATCCTCTAAAGGACCAATGTTTACCTTTGCCACTCTTTTACGATTTACATATTTATAGAAACTTTTGCTGCCTGTTTTTATATTCTGAGCTAGTTTACTCTCATAATCTATCTTACTTTTCTTTATAACTTTTTTTGTGGCTTTCTGTTGGCCTTTAAAGATTTCCCAGTCTACTAATTTTCCACTACTCTTTGCTTTTCTGTATGTGTTTTTTTTTTCAATCTGATATTTTCCATTATTTCCTTAGACATCCATGGCTGGCTCTCTCTTTTCCTACAGTTCTTCCTTATCACTGGAATATACTTCTGCTGAGCACTGTGAAAAATTGTTTTGAAAGTCCTCCACTGTTCCTCAATTGACCCACCATAAAGTTTTTGCTCCCATTCTACCTTAGCTAACTCCTTCCTCATTCCTTCACAGTCTCCTTTGTTTAAGCACAGGACAGAGGTACTGGATTTAACCTTCTCACGCTCCATCTGTATTTTAAATTCGACCATACTGTGATCGCTCCTTCCAAGAGGATCCCTAACTGTGAGAGCATTAATTATTCTTGTCTCATTAAACAGGACTAGATCTAGGATAGCTTGCTCCCTCGTAGGTTCCGTTACATATTGTTCAAGGAAATTATCACGGATGCATTCTATGAACCCCTCCTCAAGGCTACTATGACCAACCTGGTTTGACCAATCGATATGTAGATTAAAATCCCCATGATAACTGCTGTACCATTTTTACATGCATTAGCTATTTCTATGTTTGTTGCCCGCCCCACCATGATGTCATTATTTGGTGGCCTAATCAGATACAAGTTACTGTACAAAATATGTTCCATCGTAAAATAGTTTGAGAAAGAACATCATCTTTATTTTTGTGTAATGAGTTTAGGATAAATGATATCCACACAATATATATGGTCAGAATTGAGAAAACATTGCCCATTTCCTTGTGATTTGATAAGACTTTTTTTTACTAACTTGTGAGATGTGGGTGTTGCTGAGCTGGACTGGCATTTATTGCCTTATCCTAGTTGGCCTTGAGAAGGTGGCGGTGAGCTGCCTTCTTGAACTGCTGCAGTGCTTTGCTGTGGGTTGACTCTCAATGCCCTTAGGGAGGGAATTTCAGGATTTTGACCCAGCGACAGTGAAGGAATGGCAATACATTTCCAAGTCAGGATGGTGAGTGTCTTGGGGGGGCTTGCAGGTGATGCCGCTCTTGTCTTTCTAGATGGAAGTGATTGAGTTTGGAAAATGCTACCTAAGGATCTTTGGTGAATCTCTGCTGTGCATCTCATAGATAGTAGCAGCAGTGTGTGCTGAGCGTCAGTGGTGAAGGGAGTGGATGCTTGTGGATGTGGTGCCAGTCAAGTGGGGGCTGCTTTGTCCTGGATGGTATCGAGCTTTTTGAGTGTTGTTGGGGCTGCACTCATCCAAGCAAGTGGGGAGTATTCCATCAAATTCCTGACATGTGCCTTGTAGATGGTGGACAGGATTTGGAGAGTCAGGAGGTGAATTACTCGCTGCTGTATTCTTAGCTTCTGATCTGTTTTTGTAGCCACTGTGTGTATGTGGTGAGCCCAGTTGAATTTCTGGTCAATGACAACACCCAGGATGCTGATTTTGGCGATTCAGTGATGGTAACACCATTGAATGTCAAGGGGCAGTGGTTAGATTGTCTCTTAACGGAGATGGCCATTGCATGGTATTTGTGTGGTGTGAATGTCACTTGTCACTTGTCAGGAGAAGCCTGGATAATGTCCAGATCTTGTTGCATTTGAACACAGACTGCTTCAGTGTCTGAGGAGTCATGAACGGTACTGAACATTGTGCAATCATCGGTGAACATCCCCACTACTGACCCTATGATGGAGGGAAGGTCATTGATGAAGCAGCTGAAGATGGTTGGGCCTAAGTCATACCTGACGTATAGGAAGATAGTTGTGGAGGTCAGACCTCTCAGCTTCAAAGTGTCTTAGGCCCAACCATCTTCAGCTGCTTCATCAATGACCTACCATCACTGAACCCCCCCACCCACCACTATCAACATCCGAGTGATGTCATTGACCAGAAACTCAATGGACCAACCATATAAATACATTGGCTACAGGCCCAGATCATATTCTAGGAATACTGCAGCGAGTAACTCACATCCTGACTTCCCAAAGCCTGTCCACCATCTACAAGGCACAAGTCAGGAGTGTGATGGAATACTCCCCACTTGCCTAGATGAGTGCAATTCCCACAACATTCAAGAAACTTAATACCATCCAGGACAAAGTAGCCTGCTTGATTGGCACCACATTCACAAACATCCACAAACCCTCTATCATTGATGCTCAGTAGCAGCAGTGTGTACTACCTACAAGATGCACTGCAGAAATTCACCAGAGATCCTCAGATAGCACCTTCCAAACCCACAACAACTTCCATCTCTGAGGACAAGGACAGCAGGTATATGGGAACACCACCACCTTCAAGTTTCGTCAAAGTCATTCCTCATGTTGACATGGAAATGTATCACTGGGATATGTATGTTCCTTCAGTTTCACTGGTCAGAATCCTGGAATTTGTTCCCTTACAGCATTGTGGTTGTCCCTGCACTGTTCTAAAAGGCAGCTGATCACCACCTTCTTAAGGAGCAAGAAGACTTGGGCAATAATTGCTGGCCAAGCCAGCAACACCCACATCTCATGAATGAATAAAAAGAACTTGTTTCCCTCCTAGACCTTTAACTGGGCACCTAGGTGAGATCCACCCACTGTAACTCTGAGAAGCACCCTTGCTGTCTGTCTCTCCCTTCACCTGGTCAGATCCTTGACCATAAATTCTAGGTTGCCCCTCCAGGAGGGGCTTGATGGAGTGTTATACTTTCAGATGAGAAATTAAACCAAGGCCCTGGCTATTTTCTCAGAGAGATTTAAAAGAACCCATAAGACTAACTCTCCTGTGGTGGCCCCAGCCAACACCATGAGAACTGACTATCATTTTGCTACTGGCATGATTTTGATCTGTGCAAATTGGTTGTTGCATTTCCTGCAACAGTGACTACCTGTCAACACTTCCTTCATTGGCTGGGAAAGTCTGTAAAAGCTGTGATAGGAATGGAAGGCTGACTTTTTAATGTATGCAATTCAAAAGCAGAAAAACACTCAGTGATAACAACAAATGCATTTTTATGGAGCCTGGAGCCTCTGACTGTCATCACTACAGAAATAAAAGTGTAAATTGTGGTTTTGTTTTTCATTCTTTTAGTCTTGGTTAACTTTTATTTTCAATGTTACAGAGGCACCAAATGCATCAAATTTGAGGATTGTCAGAATGGATAAGACTGCAGGATGTGTGGTTGGAGGAGATGAGGTTTACCTACTTTGTGATAAAGTCCAGAAAGGTTTGTTTACTCAGTGTTATATCTTGATGTAAATTATCTAATATTTTATGATTCTTTTTGATGATTGGGCCAAATAACCTTAACACTCTTACACTAACTCACCATGTCAGTGAGGGTATAACTCAATTTATCTGCCTTTTGATCTTCTAAAGGTTTAATTAGCTCTCCATTATGAACGGGTGGTTTCTCAGTCTAACAGCCTCCCTTGATATTGAATTTAAATTACCTGTATCAGTTTAAATGAAAGGCACAATCATTCAACCCTAGTGTTAAAGCTGTAGGTTAAACTTAGCTTCACGTTTAGTGAGGGCCCAGGTCTTTGACTACTCTGGCACTGTCCTGACTGGCCTTTCCCTCTACAATCTGCTGTAAACACAAGCTCATCCAATACCCTGTCCCTCACCAACAGCCCCTGTCCAAACTCTCACCAAGACCCATTTCCCTGTTGAACACTGACCTGTGATGACTCTTGAATTTATCCGACTATTTGAATTTGAATGATTTATTGTCACTTGCATTTTACAGTAAATAATGCAGTAAAATACGGTGAGAAGCTTCAATTGTTGCCACAATCTGGCGCCATTTTAAATAGTTTAGGAATAAAAAGAGTAAAAAGATAGGCTCTCTTTCAGTTCTATCTTTGTTCCTCTGCCTCCACTATGAGTCCTGAGCTGGCTCACCAACAACACATGCACTATCACCCCTCCTCTATCACCTCACCACCATCTATGCCGGACGCACCGATGTAGGAGTCACCACTGTTTAGGGATCATCTCATCACCGCTAGGCCCACCTTGTCGACACTCAGTCCCATAATTAGCCCACACTCGCCCCACAGCCAGGAGTCCCTGGCACCGCTGCCAGGCCAATCTGCTGCGGTACCGAGAGTCCTGCTCTGGCTGATGCTGGTGCCACTCTCTCTGCTGTGCCAATACTGACGACTAACCCACCAAAGGGAAAAAAAAATAACAAAAGCAGAAGTAGAAAGTAAAACATTGCAAACCATTAATTTACAATCATTAATTCAACCACATGTACTGTCCATAGTAGTACCTATGACCTGTTTGACTGTTCATTCTCTCTGTACTTCACCATCTAGATGTCTCTCTCTCTCTCGCTCTCGCGCTCTCTCTTTCGCTGTCTCTCTGTCTCTCTCTCTGTCATACACACACATCACTATTATTCATGATTGGGTAGCAGCAATAAAGATGATAAGGTTTGAGGAAGTCTCCGCAGTAGTCACTGCTAGAGTTTCCCCAGTGACGATATCAGGGGAATTTTGTAAACTACAGTAACTGTATCTTGTCCAGTCTTGTGTTCATTGTGATTTTGTAGCTGTTGTACCTGTCACAGTTATAAATCTTTAAAAATGTTACTTTAAGAGAAGTACTTTTACTAATTCAAGAAATAAAACAGATTAAGCGTCTTATTAATACAAAATACAAGAGGAAGCAAGTCTGGAGTTACTGTTGGTGTAAATGTGATTGAACTGAGACCAATCACAATGAAAAGTCAGTGCTTTCCTCGCAGATTAAATTACTGAAGAGCATTGGCATTATTTTGAGCCCAGTTCCCGTAGTTAGAGCTCATCAGTGTGACAGCAAGAAGCAAGGCCATCTGAGTGTTGTGGAGTCACAGAAGCTGACAGCACAGAAAGAGGATGTTTGGGTTGCTGTAGCTGTGCTGGAACTTGAAACAGTAATGGTGTCTAGTCCCAGGGCCCTACTCTTTGTCTGAAATCCTGGAGCATCCTCACCCTCCCACCCTTTGTGAATCAGCTTCCATCATCTTGTCAAGTCTAGTTGTGTTCCAGATTTCAACAACTCTCTGTAAACATGTTTCCCCCTCACCCATTACCCTCAATCTTTTTTTCTTTGAATCTGTGACTCCCATTGACTGACTCACCAGAGGGACCTTACCTCTTTACTCTATTCAAATGTCTTGTCATATTGAAAACATAGTAAGTCACCTCTTATATCTTATACCATAAGATATAGGAGCAGAATTTGGCGGTTCGGCCCATCAAATCTGTTCCACCATTTGATCATCACCGATAGGTTTCTCAACCCCATTCTCCTGCTTCTCCCAGTAACACTTGATCAACTTACTGAGTGAGAACCTATCTATCTCTGTCTTAAATGACTTGACCTCCACAGCCCTCTGCAGCAGTGAATTCCATAGATTCACCACCCTGTGGCTAAAGGAATTCCTCCTCACCTCCATTCGAAGGGGTCATCCTTTCACTCAGAGACTGTGCCCTCAGTCCTAGTCTCTCCTACTAGTGGAAACATCTTCTCCATGTCCACTCTATCCAGTCCACTCCAGTACTCTGTAAGTTTCAGTTAGACCCCACTCCCACTCCCATCCTTCTAAATTCCATTCAGTACACACCCAGAGTCCTCAACTGCTCTTCATCCTTGGAATCCTTGTAAATTCCTGTGGACCCCCTCCAAAGCCAGCACATTCTCCCTCAGATAGGGGGCCCGAATATATTCAATATTCCAAGTGCAGTTTGACCAGAGCCTTATACAGCCTCCATACTCTTGTATTCTAGTCCTGTTGAAATGAATGCCAACATTGCATTTGCCTTCCTAAATGCCAACTGAACCTTCACGTAAACCTTAAATGAATCATGAACTATGATTCCAATGTCAGATTTCAGAAATTTTTCCCCATTTAGAAAATAGTCTACATCCCTATTCTTCCTACCAAAGCGCATAACCTATTTTTCGTCATCTGCCACTTGTTTGCCCACTCTCCTAGCCTGTCCAAGTCCTTCTGCAGCCTTCCTGCTTCTTCAACACTACCTGTTCCTTCGCCTATCTTTGTATCATCAGCAACTATGCCCTCAGTTCTTTTGTCCAGATTGTTAATGTATAATGTGAATAGTTGCAGTCCCAACACCAACCGCTGCGTGTACCGACTGCCTTTATCCCCACTTTCTGCCTTCTGCCAGTCAGCCAACCCTCTATCCATGCCAGTACCTTGCCCCTAACACCATGGGCTCTTATCTTATTTAGCAGCCTCCTGTGCGGCACCTTGTCAAAGGCCTTCTGGAAATCAAAAGGGATCACCGCCACTGGCTCTCCTTTTTCTAACTTGTTTGTTACCTCCTTAAAGAATTAAAGGAGCTGCTTTCATTGTTTGATGTCCAAAGATGTTTAGCAACCAATACTGTTACATTTGAACTGTTACTGTTACATTACTGTTATATTTTTTGCATTGGCACATCTGATGGATGAGTTGGTCATTAATAACCTTTTATTTACCAGATTACCAGTCTTTCTGCAGCCTGATTTAAAAACCTCTTTGTTCTTTCTAACTTTGCTGAGGTGTAAATGTGGCAGTTTTTATTTTTGCTTTTCACTGCATGGTTCATGTTCCACCAACTGATAAACATTCTCTCTTAATCAGATGATATCCAGGTTCGATTCTATGAAGAGGATGAAAACGGTGGAATTTGGGAAGCGTTTGGGGACTTTGGTCCAACAGATGTTCATCGGCAGGTTGGTAAAGGCGAAATCACTATGCTGTTTGCATTGCATCCTCTTCTTATTCCTGATGATTTCTGGTATTTAAAAACGTACGAGATAGGAGGAAGACATTCTGCCCTTTCAGCCAACTCAGCAGCTGTTCCCACTTTCACCCCATACGCTTTGATCCCTTTAGTTTTAACAACTATATCTAACTCCTTTATGAAAACATTGTGTTTTGGCCTCAACCACTTTCTGTGGCAGAGAATTCCATTTAATTCCATCACTGACCTAAATGACCTACCCCATTTCCTTAGATGGTGACCCCTGGTTCTGAACTTCCTGGTTATTGGGAGCATCTTTCCCACATTTGCCCTGTTAGAATTTTATATGTTAGAATGTCACAAGTTTCTGTGAGATCCCTCTCTCATTCTTCTAAACTCCAGTGAATATAGTCCTAATTAATCCTGTCTCTCTCCATACATCAGCCCTGCCACCCCAGGATTCAGTCTGGTAAATCTTCGTTACACTCCCTCTATAGATAGAACATACTTGCTCTGACAAGGAGACCAAAGCTGCACACACTACGCCAGGTGCGGTCTCACCAAGGCCCTGTATAATTGTAGCAAGACGTCCCTGCTCCCCTACTCAAATCTTCTTGCTATAAAGGCCAGCATACCATTTGCCTCCTTTGCCTCCTGCTGCACCTGCATGCTTACTTTCAGCAGCTGGTGCACAAGGACACCCTGGTCTCATCACAGCTCCCCCTAGTCTATCGCTGTTCAGACAATAATCTGCCGTCCTGTTTTTGCTACCAAACTGGATAACCACACATTTATCCACATTACACTGCATCTGCCATGCATTTGCCCAGTCACTCAGCCTGTCCAAATCTCACTGAAGTATCTCTGCATCCTCCTCACAGCTCACCCTTTGTTTCATGTTAGTTCCCTCATCTAGATCATTAACATATATTGTGAATAGCAGAGGTCCAAGCATTGACCTCTGCTGTACCCCACTGATCACTGCCTGCCATTCTGAGAAAGACCAGTTCATTTCTAATCTTTGTTTCCTGTCTGCCAACCAGTTCTCTATGTCAGTACACCAGCCCCAATCCCAGGGTTGTTGTGGTAGATGATCTTAACTTCCCCTGGGACTGGGACTGACATGGGTGCAGTGGGCAGAATTTGTTAGGTTTGTCTAGGATTTCGTTTTGAAACAATATGTAAATAGTCCAACTAGGGAAGGGGCAGTACTAGACTTAGTGTTGGAGAATGAGCCCAGCCAGGTGATTGAAGTTTCAATGGGGGAGCATTTCAGGAACAGTGACCATAATTCTGTAAGTTTTAAGTTACTTAAGGATAAGAGTAGTCATTGGCTGAAAGTACTAAATTGTGGGAAGGATAACTACCACAATATTAGGCAGGAAATTAAAACAGAAATTGCTGGTGGAAATGAAATTAGTTTGGGCATGGCAGAAAGAAATAGAATGATGTGGATTTTGCAAATCTGAAATGAAAACGAAAAATGGTGGAGAAACTCAGCAGGTCTGGCAGCAACCATGGAGAGAAACAGGAGTTAAAGTTTCAAGCTGATGATCTTTTACCAGAACTGGGAAAAGTTTTAGTGATATAACAGGTTTTAAGCAAATTCAGGGATAGGGAAAGGATTGGGTGGAGGAAAGAATAAGAGACAAAGTCCATGATAGGAACAGAGATCAAACAACAAGTGATGATGCTGAGAGGTGTTGATAACAGGGACAAGCAAAGAAACGCAAGATAGGTCCACAGGAGCTGTGACTGACAGCCAGAAATGTCTGTGGAAAAGTGAAAATAGTGACTACTATGTGAAATTGTGGAACTTAGTATTTAGTCTAGAAATTTGCAGAATGCCTGTTTGAAAAATGAGGTACAGCTTCTCAAGCTTGTGTAAAGAAAAACAAATACTGTGTCAAGTAATAATTCATGTTCCTTAATTTGAGGAAGGGTCACCAGATCCGAAACTTTAACTCTGATTTTTCTTCACAGATGCTGAGCTTTTCCTGAAACTTCTGTCTTTCTTTATTCATGTTTAGGGATGAGTCAGTTGATAGTCAGTCCTAGGTTAGAGAAAAGGTGATTTCACAGTCTGGATACAGTAAATTTAAAAAATGCATTGATGCTACTTCATATTTAATCATCAGTAAGTGATCCATCTGTTTGAAGGCATGGTTTAATTACAAAGTGTTCAGACTGATGGGAGGAGTGTGTAGAAATCAAGCCACAATACGCCATTAAAGGCATACCAAAAATATGAATGTTATACTTTTGATCACCGACATGATCATGTGTTTTCATTTTTACTATAATCCAGAAGTTGAGAGACTTTAATCAAGTTTCTTCAATAAATTCAAAATTAACATCTTTATTAAAGGCAAGATGTTTTTAAGCAATAGTTTATCAACTAAGCTGTAATACAGAATTAAACTGTATCCCCTTTTATTCCAAACACACGCACACATAGATAGAAAGGGCAAGGTTACACAGCTCTGCAAAGATATTCTGGGTGAGGAAAAATAGGCAAAAAGGAACCTCTCAAGTTCGAGGGTTTGCATGCACAAGGTAGAATGGGTTGATTTCTCATCATTCCTGTGGCTTTTTGATGAATATATCCAATTGCTGGTGGTTGCAGAGCAATGGAAAATATTGAGATTGGATTTTAGTTGGGAAGCAGTTAGTAATCCTGATATTTTAAATTTTCAGGATTCACAAATACTTCATTGTGAGAGATAGAGAGAGTGAGCATCTTTCTTTGTAAACCTTTCCAGTAATTGCTACATCACGGTGCGTACTAAAAAAGCATGCAGTACCTCGGAACACCTCAGAGGCTATTTCTAGGCAACAAACAATGGAGGTCCTTAGGGCTTGGACAGAAATTAATGTAATAAAATCCATATTACCTTTTGCTTGCAAACTTTAGCTTATATTCTCTATGACATCAGTTTCCATTTGTAAATGAAAAGCAGAGAGCCTCCAATTCTCTTTGGTCTTTGAAACCCAACAAGTTACATGGCTAGGACTTGACCAAATCTTCCATTTTCCAATTTTCATCATACGTAAAAATTGTGTTTCTAACAAGTCTTCCCTCACAGTTTGCTATAGTTTTTAGAACGCCAAAATACCGGGACGTGGACATTTCCAAACCTGCGTCTGTGTTTGTACAGCTTCGTAGAAAATCTGACAATGAAACAAGTGAACCAAAGCCATTTACCTACTACCCACTGATTAAAGGTAATGAGAAATCATTTGCAGCAAATTATGGTGACACACAATTACCTCCTTTTTAACCAGCTCCACTAATCAATGGGAACGTGGCTGATCTACTACACGAACACCAGCTTGCTGCAGAAGTTCCATCTTTATCAGTGTCCAAACATCAAATCTCTCTGAGTCTAGATTTGCTGAACTCCCATGACTTCCGGGAGGAGAACATTCCAAACATTCCCAACCCTTTGATGAAATTTCATCTCATCTCAGTCTGAAATGGCCAATTCCTTATCATGAAAGAAACACATATTCAAAATATTTCCCTTTTCATGTGGGGGTTTTTATGCCAATTCTGTTCAACCATTGACTAAGGCCTAAATGTTCTCAATATTTTTGAAAGAAAAAGTATCGAATAATGATGTCATACCTCTGCAATCTAGTAGCTGAAGCTGCTTTTTAATTCACTCCCTGGCCTCATCCTGTCCTATTTCTGTACTCCCCTCCAGTGACATTCCCACACCCCCACCCAAACGGCCTCACACCTACATCCACATCCACATTCCCACCCACCCCCACAGCCCCCATCTCCGACCGCACCTCCACCCTCACAACCCCACAACCCCACACCCCCACCCGCCACTCTCATCCACACACTCCGTACTCCACCCACACCCCTGCCACATCCACACCCACCCTCCCCACCCCCACCCCCACCCCCACACTCACACCCACTCACATTCCCTCCAATATCCCCGCTCTTTTCCAAATTTGGTCTCTTAAGAATCCCAGGTGGCTGTGTCTTTAGTTGCTATTGCCCTAAGCTCTTGAATTCCCTTCCCAAACATCTTTATCCTTCTCTTCTCCTTTAAGACATTCCAGAAACCTATCTCTTTGATAAAGCTTTTGTTCACCTGTCCCAACATCTCCTTTTGTGAAGCACTGTCAAATTTTGTTTGCTAATGGCTCCTGTGAAATGCCTTCGGATGTTTTACTCCATAGATGATGCTATATAAATGCAAGAGATAACAAGGTGTAGAGCTGGATGAACACAGCAGGCCAAGCAGCATCAGAGGAGCAGGAAGGCTGACGTTTCAGGCCTAGACCCTTCTTCTGAAGAAGGGTCTAGGCC